TATAACTTTAGAATGAAAGTATATTAAATAAATATGCTGTATAAAACTATATATGACATAAATATAGAAAGATTGGCCAGTAAATAGAGAAATTGTACAGGTATTACATAAATCTATATAATATAACTATGGAATGAATGTATCTTAAATATACTGTGTAAAACTATATATAACATAAAGATATAAATATTGGCCAGTAAATAGAGACATTGTACAGGTATTATATAAATATATATAACTATGGAATGAAAGTATATTAAATAAACATACTGTATAAAACTATATATAACATAAATATAGAAAGATTGGCCAGTAAATAGAGACATTGTACAGGTATTATATGAATATATATTATACATAAATATATAATATAAATATAGAGTGAAAGTATCTTAAATAAATATACTGTATAAAACTGTATATATACATACATATATATATACATACATATAAAACTATATATATACATACATATATATATATAACATAAATATAGAAATATTGGCCATTAAATAGAGACATTGTACAGGTATTATATAAATCTATATAATATAACTATGGAATGAAAGTATATTAAATATACTGTGTAAAACTATATATAATATAAATATAGAAATATTGGCCACTAAATATATAAATTATACAGGTATTATATAAATATATAACTATGGAATTAAAGTATATTAAATGAATACACTGTATAAAACTATATATAACATAAATATAGAAATATTGGCCGGTACATATAGAAATTGTACATGTAATATATAAATATATATTATACATAAATATATATAATATAAAAACAGAGTGAAAGTATAATAAATATACTGTATAAAACTGTATAATATAAATATAGAAGTATTGGCCATTAAATAGAGAAATTGCACATGTATTATATAAATATATTTTATGTAAATATGTAATATAAATATATAATGAAAATATATTAAACTAATATACTGTATAAAGCTATATATACATCACATAAATATAGAAATATTGGCCATTAAATAGACAAATTGTCCATGTATCATATAAATACATTTTATATATAATATCAATATAGAATGAAAGTATATTAAATAAATACACTGTATAAAATTATACATATACATATTTTATGTAATATAAATATACAAATATTGGCCATTAAATAAATAAATTATACATGTATTATATATATTATATATATATATAATATACATATGTAATGAAAATATATTAAATAAATATACTGTATGGAATTATACATATACATATTTTATGTAATATAAATAGACAAATATTTGCCATTAAATAGAGGAATTGTACAGGTATTATATAAAGATATTGTATGTAAATATATAATTTAAATATATTATGAAAATATATTAAATAAATATACTCTATAAAGCTATATATATATCGCATAAATATAGAAATATTGGCCATCAAATACAGAAATTTTACATGTAATACATAAATATAAAATATAAATAAATATATACAGTAAAAAATAGCGTGAAAGTATATTAAATAAATATACTGTATAAAACTATATATAATATAAATATAGAAATATTGGCCATTAAATAGACAAATTATCCATGTATTTTATAAATATATTTTATATATGATATAAATTTAGAATGAAAGCATATTAAATAAATATACTATATAAAACTATAGATAACATAAATATATAAATACTGGCCATTAAACAAATAAATTATACATGTATTATATATATATTATATATAAATATATATAATATACATATGTAATGAAAATATATTAAATAAATATACGGTATAAAACTATATATAATATAAATATAGAAACATTGGCCATTAAATATAGAAATTCTACATGTATTTTATAAATATATTCTATATATGTTATATGAATAGATATAATATACATATGTAATGAAAATATATTAAATCAATATACTGTATAAAATTATACATATACATATTTTATGTAATATAAATAGACAAATATTGACCATTAAATAGGTAAATTGTACATGTATTATATATAAATATGTATAATATATATATAATTAAGCTATATTATATATTAGAAATATATTGTATAAAATAATATTCCATAAACATATAAAAATATTAATTTTGGCCACTAAATATATAAATTGTACATGCAATATATATAAATATATAATGAAATATATTATGTAAATATATTGTGTAAAATACACATGTATATAACATATAAATACATAAATATTGGCCATTAAATATATAAATTGTACATATATTTTATACAAATATATATTATATAACTATATAATAAAATATATTATATATTATAAATATCCTGTATAAATAATATTATAAATTTACAAATATTGACCATTAAATATATAAATTACACGTTTATTATATAAATATATTTTATAAAAATATATTGTATAAAAGAATATATATTATATAAAAATATAAATATTGGCCATGAAATATATAAATTATACATTATATATGCTAGAAATCTATTATATAAATATATTGTATAAAATTATACATGTATATAATTATATATATAAATATTGGCCATGAAATATATAAATTATACATTATATATGCTAGAAATCTATTATATAAATATATAAATATATAAATATATAAATATATAAATATACATGTATAAATATACATGTATATTTATATATATGAATATATAAATATACATGTATAAAATTATACATGTATATAATTATATATATAAATATTGGCCATTAAATATACTATATATTATAACCATATATATTATAAGCTAATTTATTATGAAATATATATTATAAAATTATACATATATAAATATTTGTATATATATACATATATATGTATATATATATGTATATATATATGTATATATATACGTATGTATATACATATATATATATGTATATATATATGTGTATATATATGTATATATATATATACATATATATATACACATATATATATGTATATATATATACATATATATATACACATATATATATACACATATATATAT